TTTCAAATTTCAAATTTTGTGCAAAAACAATTGTGTTTTTCCAATTTTTGGCGCTGTCAGAACCACCGCAAGGTAATTTCACGCAGTCCTGTGAAGTTTTGTTTGTAGGAAATCGATCCAATATTGAAAAAATAAGATGTCTGAAATCTTCGATCGGTGAATGGGTAATATATACAGCACACACACACACACACACCCAGGTATATTCAGATGTCCAGGGTTCAAGATCTCATTATCTAGTACCTGCATTCATGGAAGTAACATAGGGATATGGAAAAGGTAGTAACTATAATAAGTTTTAACTTATTATAAGTCGCAATGGTCATTACCAGATATTATTATTATTAATAGTGTTATTATTATTATTATTTGTGTATGTTATTTTTCCTGTTTTGTATCCTGTAGAACCAAGTCCAACGTATGGATCTTAGGTCCCACAAGAATTTTTAATACATAACTAGTTCACTGTTTTTAACCCAAAACTTAATTCCTAACCTTAACCCCTAACCCTAACATATTTCATACTTCCAACAGTTGGTAAATAGTATGATATAGTTCATAGTAAATAATGAACACTAGATACCAAACAATAATAGAAAATGAACAGTAGATGTACTATAGTAGCACCAAATTTTCCATATGGTAAATATAATACCATAGTAGAAAATGAATTATAGATATCATGCTCGTAGAAAATGGACTGTAGATATCATACTATAGTAGAAAATGAATAATAGATATCATGCTATAGTCGAAAATTAATAGTAGATATACTATAGTAGAAAAGGAATGGTAGATATCATACTATAGTAAAAAAATGGATGGTAGATATCATACTATAGTAGCACTGATTATTACTTTTTGAGATCGAAGCAAAACGCTTCGAATGGGGAATTTTTTCTCTAATAAAAATCAAGAATTCGTCGAACATTTTTTCCCGTGAAAAACCTGCGTAATTTTACTCAAAATATATCAAAAATTGCCTAAACAGCGACAACAAATCATTTCAAATAGTATCGTTCTTTTTCTTTTTTTTTTTTTTTTTTTCCAGAGTATACAATTGATTTTTCTATCTCTATGGAGGCTGTTTGCTGCCTTTACAGGTTCTGGATTATTCTAATATCCTTCCCAGCTGTGGTTGCTCAGCTGTTCCAACAGATTTTTGTGGCGTACCTAAGCTTATTAACGAGAATAAATAAATATCGTGCTTAATAAATAAACGGAGCGTCTACTTAAATATGGTTATCCCCGAAAAATAACGTGTAAGTGATAAAATCTTTCGGGTTAATAAAAAAAAAATCATTACTACTTCGTATATATATATATATATATATATATATATATATATATATATATATATATATATGTCATTACTACTTCATATATGTTATCTGCTAATTTTTCAAATATATATTTGAAAAAATTAGCAGATCAGTCGATGTGTGGAAATTAAAAGAAAAAACATGATCCAAATTTTTTTAAAAAAAGTGAAACCTTACAAAAACAATAATAACATCTGTTGCAGATGCAGCCAACAAGAAAAGTTAACAATAATGACATTTGCGGATCACAAACACCTTTTGAGTGAAAGGTCCGAGATTATGAACCGTTGCATTTATACAAAAAAAAAACCCTCCTAATACGAGGCTGGATAAAAATATGTATATTTCAATTTATTTTACGCTAAAGAAAGACAACTATGAGTTTTGTGTTGACAGAGTTATCTCCCATAGACACATTGAAACGCTTTCCGACCAACCTATTTTTCATTAAATGATTTTAATCTATAAATATGTAAACTGCAAACATGCAAATTTAATCGATTAAATTAATCGCCATTATTTTGATCATATGATTAACAGACTGACTATTTCACCAATGTCCTCTTTATCCACCAAGTTGAAGTAATACACATGGAATTAAAGGACAAAATAAATTCTCAAGAAAATGAAAATAAATCTGATGATCCAAGCTTTCTTTCTCAGCTGAGAATAAACAAGATCCAAATTCGATTTCCTGATATGCAATGGTTTAGAGGTTAATATTTGCATATTTTCTTCTAATATATACAAATTTTATTTTTTATTAATGTTAGTCTTGAATAAATGTTTAATCGTGTAGTTTGTTTTTGTTTGTTTTCTTTGGGGGGGGTATTTGTTTTTTTGTTTTGTTTTGTTTTTGTTTCGTTTTTTGTTTTTTGTGGGGTGGCGGGTGTTGGGTATTTTGTTGTTTTTTTTTTTTTTTTGTTTTTTGGGGGTTGGTGGGTTGCTTTTTTGGGGGTGTAAATGTCCCGTAGCTTCGTAGGAAGATGGGTGAATGTGTAAAGGAATTTCTTCGTGACCTGCCGTCCGTTGCTGCTTGTCTCTCCCTACTGCTTTGCCTCTCTGGAAACTTTACTGAAATATCATTCAAAGCGATCTTTTTTTTTTCTTTTTTTTCTTTTTTTTTCTTTTTTTTTTCTTTTTTGATTGAAAAATGTTAAATATTTATTTTAGAAGCATTAATTTATTAATCGAAACAATATGACATCATTTTTTATCATTTGGTGTTTGACTGTCTTGGTGTCTATTTCCGTCTTCGCTAAACATATTAATCTAATTTCATATCCGCCCGTTCAGTCAGTTTTGTTTTTTGAAAGCACCGTTTTCTGATCTATATTTTTGGTTTCGTAGCACCTTAATGCCATCAAATTTATTCATTATACTAATTTTAATAAAAATGTTTGGAATAAAAAATTATATTCTCAAACTATTGCTCATATAAGGTTAAAGGAAATTTATTTTTGAACATAATAAATTCTTGATTATTACACTACTCATCTTCTGTATTTCTTTAGGTTCTATTTTTTCGCGCACTTTTTAGAGTAGAGGTGGAATTACACAGTTTTTTTTATTTTGCTCTTTGATCTCAGTCTACCGTGCGTGAATAAAACTTTATTTTCACTCTTCAGCAAGCATTACTTTTGGAAAATCCAGCTAATTTATCCTTAAATTTACTAATAAACTTCGAAACACAACACTGGGATAAATATTGGATTTTAAAGAAAGTTTTAAATTTGTTGTTTGCATTTTTTCTATACATTGGTGGTTTATTGGGATCTGTCTATCCAGCTTTTAGTTGCTATCTGAATGTCGGGGTTCCAAACATTTAACAACAACAACAACATATCTTTTTAATGAAACATAAAAAGATTATTTTCTGAAAGACAAGTAGAAGCAGAAGGTCAGTTGAAATAAAATTTATATATGCTTTTCAGAAACATGTTCAGTTTTCCTTTCAGAGAATTTTGTATTATAAAGTAATTAAGTGTTTCAGTGCGATGTGAAATGTGTGTACAGATTTACTTTATGATGCCCAGCCTAATGTGCTTGCGAGTTCGTAGACAAAGGATTAGTGGGCAGTTGCTGGTTAATCCCTTCTACTGTGTGCGTGGACAAGGACAATGGTCTTAGTTGGAGGCTGCTGGCTGTCTCCCTTCCATTGGGTACGTGTGTGTGTGTGTGTGTGTGTGTGTGTGTGTGTGTGTGTGTGTGTGTGTGTGTGTGTGTGTGTGTGTGTGTGTGTGTGTGTGTGTGTAGATAAGCTGGCCAGCAAAATTGTTTTGAGCACCAAGAAGCAGTAGGCTTCTAATTTTATATCTGTAAAGGGGATGAAAAATCTAGTTTCCCATAGAGGTATGAACTTTTTGAATACAAGGTTTTCATTAGTTAGAAAATAATTTCACACTGGCTAATTGTCACATTGTGAAAATTTTTTTCTCCAATTAGCGGGAGTGTTAATAGGAGTTATTATTATTTTCTAAATGGTCCAAAAATAACACGTATTAGGTCTACAACTACGTCCGCCAAATATTTTGGTGGTATTTGCACTTGTAATGATTGTTTATCCAATAAACCTTCTAATAGTATTTTATTGATTAAAAAAAATATATATATATAGGATTTAATTCCTATAGTTCAAGGAGTTAATAGGTGACGAAAAAACATGCCAATGTTTTTAAAATGCCTAAAAATTTTATTGATGTATGAAAATTATTTTTTTTTAATTTGGATTAGCTTTAGGACATTATCTTTTAAACTGCACCGAAATTTAAGTTCCAAGAAAGCACTGATTTTTCAAATTATTTAAAATGCGTTTTGCAGTCTGATTTTTTTTTTTTTAGAAAGTCCGTGGTGGTACCTAGCCAATATACACCCAAATATATATCATTTTTTTTTAAATTCGCGAACACCGCCCAAATTTAAAAGTACACGCGATACATCGAAACGAGTCGGGGGTGAAGCTGACCCGCCCAAATATTTCCACAAAGGTTTATAATATAATAATCGATTTTAACATAAAATTAACCCATTAATGAATAAATACTGAAAATATCACTTAAATCGAGTAATTTTCTGATTTTTGATATTTAAAAAAAAACTGTGGGTAGCGGTCATTTTTTTTTTTACAATCAAAAATTCACACGCATTTTGATAACAACTGCATTAACTATACACACATGAAGTAAAGAAACCCTTTCGTCAAGTTTTGTTCAACTTCATTAAACTTATTATTTGCCAATTAATTTTGAGTTTAATATGCTTAGCCCCGGAAGAAAATGTATTTATTTATTCTAATCAAGTACACACAAGTTTTGCTTTAAAAAAAAATAAAGCAAAACAGTGAGACACAAAGGGGAAATAACTTAAGTTAAGTTATTTCCCCTTTGTCGCTTTCTAGAAAGTAATAGTTACTTAACTTATTCTATTCAATTTAGTTACTAAAAATCACGCTCGGCAAGTATCCAAGTAGATAATTATGTCGAGCCTCGTCTAACACAAAGCCAAAACAGAACAGCAGCAAGTGAGAATTAAATTCACAGGCAATGGTTTGCAAAACGTGCTAATTAAATTAACTATTGTCTTAGAAAAAGAGCATAAATGAGACAATGAAAAGACGAGGCACTTTGGTATCGGAGTTATCTCCCTTTAAGTAAATCTTCTTTCCACGTGCAAATCAGGATGCAGTCGGATATTCAAGGTAAATTGTTTTTTAAAGTATTTAAAATTAATTATTCTCGTCTTTTTTATTCTTTTACTGATCAAAGTTTAATTCGGTTTCTAAATTATATTAATTGTCCAAAATCATGTCTTTTCGTCCAAGATTTCTGGTATATAGATATGTTTTTTTAACTGAAGAGAAAGTCGTTCATAAAAAATGAAAACAAAAATAAAATGCCACGCTTGTCTATCTTCATTTTAAATTTTCTTTTTGTATTTTGGCGGTAATCGACTAAAAATAAAACGAAATTCTGTCTGTGTACAGATTTATTTTGACAACAGATGTAAAAAAAAAAAAATGTTTTTACCACGATTTTATAAAAATAGTATTTTCCAAAATAAATTCATTCATTTGCGAATAGGCTCTAAAATTTGCATTAAGATCTGACAATTTGATTACACGAATTTCAAAAATTATGTTTTTTCAACTAAAAAAAAAGCGCAAAAAACTAATTGTAAAAAAAATATTACGCGACCGCTAACAAAAAAAAAAACAAGATTTTCAACCAAAATTTCAAACGGGAAAGTAATAAAAAATTTAAAAATACTTTGTTCTTTCTTCTTAACAATGAAAACATTTTGTTGACGATAAAAATTTGTTTTTATTAAGTTTGTTGTCTTTTTTTCATCATGTTATATCCTCTTTTTTCCGCAAAAAGATTTACGTACCTAACTATATGTTTCGTTTGTTTTTAATTACGTTTAAAATTGTAGTTATTGGTCGAAAAGGATTACTTTCTTCTTTTCTTTTAATATCAAAACAAGTCATCCTTTGCAACCAATATCTACACTACAGTTTTAAACGTAATTAAAAAAAAAAATGAAAAACATACTTTAAGTTTTAATACATAAACTAATTTTAATACATTTAAACATAATTTTAATACAATTTTTATTTATTTTTACTCCCTTCCAAAAGTTTAACGTTTTTGCTTTGAAAATTAAATCAAGTTAAAATTTAAATTAAATACCATTTAAAAAGTACAACTGGCATGATAAAATTATAATATATTTTTTTAATGATCAAAGACCTTTTACATAAATAAATTTATACCCTTTTTAAGTTTTAATCTTTTAAATTATTAACTTCGTATATAAACAAAGTAATCTGTAGATGCTTCTTAAATAGAAACTGTTTTTTTACACTTACTTTAGTTTACTTTAAAACTAGGATTCACTACGAAATCGCTAAAAAAAAGAGCATAGCATGATAAAAACGGCCTTAAACTTGATGAAATTTTTTTGTCTAAATGTTTATGTTATTATTAAGAGAAAAGACCAAAGTATTTTTTGATTATTTTTTTTTACATTTTTTTTAATCCTTGCTAGCTCGTCCGAAATTTTATTTTAAAATCGTTTCTTTTTTTTTAAGTTAGAGAAATTACCATAAAAATAAAATCGAAGATGTCGCAATTTTTTAGAAGTTTGTAAACAAAAGTTAAATTCTCCATTTAAAAATCCTATAAAAATCAATCATACCTTTTTCAAAAGTTATTTGAGGAAAATTAAAAATTTAAAGTTTAATATATTTGGAAACAAATATTACTTTCTTCGCAGAAAAAATGTTTAAAATGAGAGAAAGCATGTCTTAACAACGGCAGCTATTGACAAGCAGTGTTTTCATCGACATTGACAGCTAACGTGAGGAGAAGTTATATGGAAGAATAGAAATGGCTTAATTTTTCCTAGTTTAAGCTTTTTTTAAGTTTAAGTAAACCCATTTATTTACTTTGTAATTTTAAATAAGTAACAAATACTTTTGTCGATCTAATATCTTATTTTTTCAATACTTTTAGCCTTAACTTTTGAAGATGCTTTCTGGAAAAATTAAAAATATAAAAAAAAGTTTAAATTTCATAACTGCTGAAGAGAGGAAGTACCTATAATTTTTATGTACATCTCATGAAATTTTAGTGTATTTTTTATATTAATTTTCATTTTATCTCTGTTATTTTTATTATCTCATGAAAAATGTCATAACTGAGATCATAAAAATATAAGACTATATAAATTTCATAAGAAAGGTAGCTATTAAGTACCCTTCTCATATTTGAAATGTTTTACATTTTTTAATGCTAATTTTTGTTCCATATTTTTTAATCACTTTTGAAAAATAAAACAATTTATTTCAATTAATTACTTTTTAACTTTCAAGTAAGTTACTTGAAACTAAAAAACAATTTATGACTCTCGCTATAAAACAGTACAAAATTCATTTTGTATTCATGCTTCCTACGGTCATCTGTACATTTGTTGAAATAAAACCGTTTTTAACTTTTAATGGACACAAATAGCAAGGTAATATTCTATATTTAAATACTTCAGGTTTACAGATTGTAATACGCTGTAAAATATGATCTGTAAAGATAGATTTAATCATTGCCTAAATAACTCAGTTTTGATAATTAATTTTAAGATATTTAACAAATGTAATGTAAAATTATAAAAAAAAAAAAGTTAG